AAAGACGTGGACAAAGTTCATGAAGATAAAGAATGTCTATAAAATACATTTATAAACATCTTTAAAGATCTATGTTTAACTTACTTTTCAGTTTCAACTGTCTGGTGATTCTCCATTTGACTGAGTGTTGTTTGAAGCTGCTCGCACTTTAAAAGCAATTCTTTTTTCTCGGATTTCAGCTCGTGAATCTTATCATATGCTTTCTCTAAATCGTTCTCTGTGTTCTTGAGAATCCGAGATGTTGTCTTCTGCTTCTCCAGTTGCTTCTCAAAGACTCCCTTTTCTTGTTTCATCTCATTGTTGTCTGTTTCAAGCTCTTTTGTCTTCCTCTTTAATTCAGTAACTACTCGTTCCAACTTTTTCGTCTCATCAACTAATTTTTTGTTCTCCTTGTCAAGCTGCTGGATACTTTGATTTTTTGCTTTTAATTCTTCTGCCCTTTCATCAACCATTTTAGACAACAATTCGTTGTTTTCACTTCTTTTCTGCATCAAAAGCAGTTCTGCCTCTTTTTCTTTCAGCTTAAATTTGGCAGTTTCAAGTTCTTCCTTTATGTGTTGCTTCTGTGCCTCCAAATCTTTCTCTTTTGCTGCTGACCTTTTAGCAATCATCTCTATGTTAGCTTCAGTATCGGACAAGGTAGAGGTAAGATCATCAAATTTTCTTTGCCAGTCCTCAGCTTCTTTCTTCAAAGCATCCATGCTAGATATGGCCTCATTGTCCTCACCTTTCTTAGCTTCCAGCTTTAAGTTGAGGACTTTAACTTCTTCTTCCAGTTTCTCTTGCTGAAGATCTTTTGCATCAAGTGTCTTCTTAATCTCATAATTATGCTTCTGGATTAGCTTTTCTCTTTCCTTCATCTCTTCAAGTTTCATAGACAGCTCTCGAAGTTTTTCAGATAGCTCTTTTTCCTTTCCAGCAACAGTTGTGCGATGCTTCTGTTTTTGCTCGCAACTAGCGACTTGTTCTTTCAGTTTCATGTTTTCAGTAAGCAGTTCTTCTTTGCTTTTTGTCAGCTCATCAATTGTTGATTTAGCTTGCTCCAAATCTTTCTTAGAGTTGTTTTGCCAATGCATTTTTTCTTGTTTTGCTTGCTCTTCTGTTGCAGAAAGCTTTTTCTCAAGCATGTCACACATATTTTCTCGGTCTTTGATCTTCTTAAACAGGTCAGCTTGCTTTGCATAAGACTGTCTAATTTCTTCTTTTTTTGATTTCAACTCTGCTTTTAAATTTGAGCAGCTGCTTTCTAACTCAGCAACGCGATCATTTATTTTCGCTATCGAAGATTTGGAAGCATCTTGCTCTCTGTTTTCTTCTTGTAGCTTTTGGATTGTTTTATCCAGATCCGTAACAATGTCGGTTTGCATATCAAGCTTTTCCTTAAGATTCAGGTTGTCCTCGACAAGCCTCTTTTCTTGTGACCTTGCTTGTTGAAGCTGCTCATTTAATTTTTGACTTTCTATTTGATAATTTTGTTCCTTGGTGTGAATATCTGTCTGTATTTGTTTGATCTTCTTCATTAGATCTGATACTTGGCCTTTGGCAGACACCTTCTCTTTTTCAAAGGTCTGAATCTTTTCCTTGATATCTTTCGAACGCTCTGTTGCTTCTTTCTTTGCTTCGAGATCTTTCTCCAACTTGATAATCTGAGCCTTAAGTGCAGCAACTTCATCAAGTGATTTTGCAAGGTCATCCTTAAGTATTTTGTTCTCTTCAGTCAAAGGTGCTGTGGTTACCTTGGTATTTTCCTGTATTTCTTTCCAAGATGTCTCTAATGTTTTGATTGTTGCATTTTTCTGTTCCAAAATACTCTCTAGGTCGATGCAGCTTTTCTCCAGATCAACATTGGCATCAAGAACTTTGTCTAACTTTTCATTGAGATCTTCTTGCTCTTCCTTAAATGATGTTTGAAGATTTTCTTTCTCCTTCAACAAACCTTCGATTTTAGAGCTTTGATTATCGAGTTGATCCATGACTGATTGAAACCTCTCCCGCTCAATGCTGTTGTCAACTTTCTCTGTGAGTTCTCTATGTTTTTCTTCCATATCTAAGAGCTGTTTTGAGTAGGCCTGTGCTTGAACCTCTGCATCTGTTAATTTTCTTTTCAAGGAAATGTTCTCCTGCTCAAATTCGGCAAGACTTGTTTCTAATTTTCTTTCTTGCTCTTTTGTTGATTTCACATTCTCCTCGTGGCTCAATTCTTCATGGAGCAGTTTTCCTTGAAGCTCTTTCAAAAGTTGTCTCAACTCTTCATTTTTCTTATTAAGGTCTTCAAACTCCCCTTTTTTGACTAGTTGATCTTTCTTCAATTGATTCAACTCTTCTTTAAGCTTTAATGTTTTTTCGTCAGGATTTATGTCTTGTAGTTCCTCTACTTTTATATGCAGTTGCTCGATCTCCTTGCATTTCTCTAAAACTGGTGTCTCAGAGGCATCTAGTTGCCCATTGCTTTCTTTGTAGCTGGAAAAGCTTTGAAATTGGCTTAGTTGACTTTCCTTTTCTTTCAGATTGCTTTTTAGCTCACCATTTAAAGCTTCTAAGCACTGCAGTTTTCCCTTTTTGCTCTTAAGGTCGACTTTCAGGGCCTGTTTTTCTTTTAAAAGTCTGTCAATATCATCCTGTCTGTACATAACAACTGCTTCCAATTCAGATTGAGCTTTTTCTAATTCTGCAGCAGTTTGCTCAAACTTTTGCTTGAATTCTTTAGCTTCGATTTGATATCTTTCAATTTCATTAACAAAATCAGCTCTCACCTCTTGAAATTTTTCCTCCATGAGTTCTTGCATCAAATTGAGCTGTTGTTCTGCTTCTATGACTTCACCTCTGTCCATCATGGAGTTATAGTCGGAGACAAGAGACCTGTTTTCGTCATGAAGTCGTTCAAGATCATGGTGATATTTTCTCAACTTCTTTTTGATTTCTTCATTTTCTAAGAGCAGTTCGTCAATCTCAGCCTGACATTCTTCTTTGCTCTGTTTGACTTCGAGCTTCAAGCGTTTTTCAACCATCAACTCTTGCTCCAATTGCTTCATTTTCCGTTTGATCATAATAAGCTCTTCGTATTCATTTTTCTTTTCTTTTGACATCTGTATGCAAGAGAAATTTGGTCTTTAGACGTTAGGTTTGTTTCACAAGGTAAGGCAAGATATTTGTATGGATACTGTGAATTATTGTAAGTGACTCATTTATACATAGGATGTGTCTCTGCATTTTGAATCATTTATACAATGTTCATCTTGTGTTTAAGATATAGAGTAGCTATGACTCACCAGCTTCTCGTTGTCAAGTTCCTCTCGCAGTTTGATTATCTGCAATTTCTGCGACTTCACAAGACTTTCCATCGATTGCTGCATTTGTATACGTTGTTCCCTTTCATGTTCAATGGCCCCTAAAATGGCATTGACGTGAAGTAATAGGAATGTCAATAATAGGAATATTATGACGACTGGACAAAATAGAACTTTTCTGTGAAATCTTCCTCTCCTTTGAAATTAGATCGTTGAGGCACGTTAATTCACGGAAGGTACACGTGTGAAACTAGTCTATTTTCAGAAAAATTGACAAGTTTTGAAGAAAAATCTTTAAAAAAACCGATAGTTTTCGTGAAATTGAAGGTTGCTCGTCTCCTGTTCCGAGGCTCTACTCATTTTTGCAAAATTTAACCACTTCATGTAATTTTGGAGCTAGTAATGATTTGGTGACATTTCCTTTGTTATGAAGCAAAGTTTAGTCTCTGAAATCTCTGGAATATCTTTTAGATTGCTTATAACTGTCGAATACGCGTTATTCTGCTTACCCAGTGCAAGGTGAAGCTCATTTGTAGCTTTCTTTAGTTGCCTTTTAGCTGCTTCAAGCTTCTCTTGCAGTTGTGTTCCTTTGACCTGAGACTCAGTCAGGGTCATTTGGGCATTATCGAGATCTGCTTGCAATTTCTTTATAACCTCCTTTCTAGCATTGATCTCATCTTGAGCTTTTTTGAATCTGTGTAAAGGATGTTTAATTAAGTTAAAGTCGATTAAATTATAACATGCTAAAAAGAAGTTCATAGCTGACCAGAAGATGTTTAAAATGAATGAATTTACCTCGTGTTAAGTGACTTGATTTCGTACTCGCGAACATCGGGTCCATTTTCAAGCCATTGATCAATTTTAGCCAAATGAAGGCCTTCTGGGGTATCCGCTGTTCTCTCGTGTTGGAAATATAGTTTCCTTCTGAGAGTTTCAAGTTGGTTGAAACATGCTTTGCCTAACTTTGTAGGCGTTGCACTGTTGCTTGAATGATACCCTAAATTGAGAAAAAACGTTACATTATTGCTATAATTAGTAAGGGATTTTGGTTATTGCTCGTTATTGCTTATAAAAACAGGCCTTTAGATATTTTAAATGTAGTAGTATAGAAAATTGTTAGGTTTATACATTGAAATACCAATGTTTATCATTCGTTCGAAAATTCGATGCGGTGGTGTCTATGCAAAGGTTTCTTACCTGCTTTCATTTCGATTCTTGATCAACTTTCGTGAGACAAATTTTGCAAGGAAGATTGATCTAATATACAACGAAAGACGTACTTACCGTTAATATTTGTGGTACGAGATGCATACCCCTTGGTATACCAACGATAACTTGCATCTGTGTTTCCATTATTGTCCTGGGAGTAACGTGGTGCGTGCACCGTCTCCTCGTGAACTTTCCGTGCGGCATGACCGTTGAAAAACCGATTCTCGCCGTTCCTCATGCATATCCAACAACGGACGCTACCGTCCGAACTGAAACTCGCCATTCCGCCGTGTGCTGTGTGCTTGTAAGAAACACAAGAACACGAAACCAAGTGCAAATCCACAAATGGAATGCACCGATACTCACAGTTGTGAAAACTGAAGCACGATTTGTCTAATCATGATGCGCCCTTTTATACATGACGGTGGCCGCCTCCAGATGATTGTTACGTCAAATTGATATTTTGGTACGGGAATTTGGGACGATTTTGGATGAAGTATATTGAAAGTTAACTAAACTTAATATAAGCTAACGAACCTGTTATTTTTCGAAAAGCTTGCTCTGTTAAACTACAATCCTGGCCAAAAGTTGTTGTAATGGCTGGCGAATTGTAGTCTTTTTGAACAAATGCGCTCCCCATCCCCCACAGTCAATGTTGATACACTTATTTCTACTCATTTCGATTGCCGTTACTTTGGTATTTTCCAGAAAACCAATTTTGCTGCAAGGGTGGGGGGTTTTGATAACTTTATTGGGGTAAAGTTGCAGTTTTATTGGGTTTCTTCTCAAGTCCACTAACCTTTTGGCCAGGATTGTAGTTGCATCAAGACCCCGTTTACACTACAGAAAAAAAGAACGGAACTCTTTGGTTCTGTGCCTGAAAAAGCGATAATAGGCCTTGTGTTTACTCTAGGCATCTTGGAATCGTGCTAGTTTGAGAAGGCTTCTTTGGTTTCTCTGTCGCTAACATGCAAAGCACTTGTTTTCTTTAATGTAAACGGCTAGGAACGGAACGTGAGGGGGGGGGTAACTTTAGTAAGTTAATTCGAAATGGTACTTTGAAATCATTACTTGCTTCCTTCTTTCCACAGGCAGTGGAATCTGTGATTGTTCTGCCACGTGACAAGGAATTAGAATGGTGCATGACAGCAGAAGAGGAACAAAATGTTAAGTTTATAACTGCTGGTGAAAAAGGTAAATATCTTTGGTCCAATTTGTGGACACTGTTGTGTAAAAATTCACTCCATAATTAATCTCTGAAACATCGTCGACAAATATCATTGGTTTTCTGTGCACTGTTAAACTTTCCATTGACCCAATTTATTGTAAACACAAGAAAAGATGTCAGTTTTTCTCAATATTTAATGCTCGCTTATCAGACTCGAAATTTTCAGAGTATGACACAAGTTGACTGTTTGCATCAAATTTCCAGGCATCATTCGGGCATGGAGTGTTCGTGATGGCAAGTGCATCTTTGCCCCAGAAAGATCTGCAAATAAAGCTGTGGACAGTAATTGTGAAAACCCTGCTCCTTCATCAACGGTTATCCAGTGTGTCCTCAATGAAGCTCTTAATTGCATCGTTACTGTTTCCGATGACCAAAATATTGTCCTTTATGACTTGAATTCACTGAAAATCTTAAAACAGGTAACTTATTTCGTCGTTTTCGTCTCTTAGTTGCATCTCTACTTTCGTTGACATAATGTTTATTATTGTTTTTTCTCTCATTCCGTATATTTAAGAGAACTCCCTAGCTTCTTTAACATAATTAGACAGTAATCGACTCTTTTTATTTTGTTGATATATTTTTATCGTGTATAGTTTGTCGGACACCTGGACGAAGTTCTGGACTTAAAGTTTGTGGGGGAAGACCACTCCCTTCTCTCGATCGCATCAAACAGCCCTGATGTTAAAGTTATTGACAGAGAAACAATGGATTGCCGAATATTGAATGGACACACAGGTTTGTTTTAAATTGCGATTTTTGACAGTGGAAACGCTTAGAACTTCCATTGTAATTTTTGAAGAGATTCTCTTTTGAAGTCTTTGGTAAAACATTAGTAAGTGCCTTGTTTGTTTTTGGTAAAACTGCGATTTAATGATTTTTTTTTATTCCTGTAGTTTGTTAGCTTGTTGTTTGTGGCAAATGATAATTTCCCGTTCTAGATACAATAATGGCACTAGATGCAAGTTTCGATGGCAAATACATCGCTTCGTGTTCAAAGGTAGGCTCAACACGTATTATTGGCCAGGCTTTATCTTTTTCGAAAATGTCTTCTCTATTAAATGAGGGCTTCTCTCAAATGGAGAATAGCAGAGGTGTAAAAAAGCTTGATATGCAGTACTTCATTTTGAGAGGGCCTTTTTGCTTCCTAAGTAAATCATAATTCATTAACTGATCTTCCAATGGCTTTATCTTGAACTTGAATTTATTCTCACATTGATAATTAAGTCTTTTCTCCTATTTTATTTTGCCTTATTTATTAAAGGATAACAGTCTAAGGATCTGGAGACTGGGCGATGACAAAACCTTTTCATGCGTGGCCTTAGGGGTTGGCCATACGCATGCAGTTGGAACTATTGCTTGGCCGAAGTAAGTAATGCAGTTTATAGAAAGCAGTGTCTGGATCTTTTCTCCATGACTTGATCTTTTCTTTACCTTCTGTTGCTCACAGTATATAAAGAAAGCAGTGTTAACATTGAAGGTTTTTTACCATCAAACTTTACACAGGCTTTCACATGATATGCATTATCTCTTTACTAAAGGAAAACCTCTCTGAATGAGGTACGAGCTTTGTTTTGCTGTCCTTATTTGCTTGTGTTTTAGTCAATATTCTTTCATCGTTTATAGAGATCAGTGTTCATTCAGTCTGTTTGCATCTCAAACCTAGGGTAACATTTGAAGTCCCTTTTGCTGTTACTCGCAAGGAGTTCCCATTTGGGATTTTGTTGTTTGCCAAGCAGGGGTACTTTGTCGGCAAGTTATCCCATTTTATGCACCTTCATTAGATGAAATCAAACTCTATAGGTCATTGCTAGAACAGGAAGCATTTATGAATGATGTTGCATCTTTAAAATCATTCAACACATTTTTTGTTGCTCTTGCTCGCTGTTGTTTCTGTTTAATATATTTGAAATAAGCAGACATCTTATAATTATTGTAATTATATTAAAGTTAAGGTACGTTTTCTACTTGTTTCAACAGAAGAAGCACAGATCATTTAGTAACTGGAAGTCAAGATCTAACTCTGAAGTGCTGGAAAGTCCCACAAATATTCGAGGTGATACCATAGGTTTATACTCTTAAGATGGAGTTATCCAATGCAAACCAAACATTACTTAGAAAGCACATTAAATCCTGTTTTGAATCTTTTCTGTGGGCTGAGTAAACCATGTTTACTTTTGGAAAAAAACAAAAAATTGATGCAAGTAAAAAATGTTTCATGGACGGTAGAGCCTCGTCCATTAAAAAAATATTAGTTCTAACCTTATCCATTCATTGAGTTAGTCTTTATCATTTCTATGAATAAATTTGACAGGATAATGGTTTATCAAAAATTCAAGCTGTATGGACTGTGAAAGCCCATGATAAGGTTTGTCACGATATTTTTCTTTAGTTGTTCTCAGAATTACAGCGCATGCTGCGAAAGAACACGAATGCAAAAAAATCCAATTTTTGTCGACCCACAGCATTTAAGTGTGAATATGATTATTTAAATACACTTTACCCATTTTTTCTCATATCAAAAGGAATAAATTTACTGCAAAAGCATTTGATACTTAAAAAGATATGTAATTTCAAATGTATATGGCCTCTGGAGATACTGCGGCAGAAAGATCTTTTACGTTTAATTGCAACTTTTTTCAGGAAGGTTATTCTGTATTGCGATTTCTTTTGTTGAAATAAACTTCATACAAAAATATGTTTTTAGGACATCAACTCTGTTGTGTTTTCTCCAAATGACAAACTCATCGCTTCGGGGTCTCAAGATAAAACAGCAAAGGTAGGCCATCAAACCTTTTTTGAGACAAAGAGGAAGCTTTATCTTTGATTGGCTTGGTAAAATATCAAAAGAAGGCCAAAGCTCCTAAAATTAAAAGTAAACCTAAATATCATTTTGATTTGAAACATTTTTTTGGCAATTTTTAAATAATTCATCAGCTTCTTTTGGATTCTAGTTATGGCTTGCATCCGACGGAGGCACGTACGGGACGCTGCGTGGTCACAAACGAGGAGTTTGGTGCGCAGCGTTTTCTCCAGTCGATAAATGCCTAGCAACAGCATCAGCTGACTCGACAATAAAGCTATGGGCAATTAAAGATTTGACTTGTGTGAAGGTGGGATTGAGAAATTTGCTAATGTTTGCTTGACTTGATAAGATACTTTGGTCAGAGTAGTTGCCCTAAAGTTCACCCAAGCCTAGATTAAGTTCATCCAAGCCTAGATTAAGTTCATCCAAGCCTAGATTCAGTTTATCCAAGCCTAGATTATAGACGATATGGTAATAATCAAAATTAGAATTCAAGACGAAAAAATTTAGATATTAAAACCCATATACCCTTAAGACATATTTTTCCTTGTCAGAAACAATTGACGGAATCAAATGTTAATAGATATTGGAATTTAAAAAGCAATTTTTCGTTTTAGACACTGGAAGGTCATACCAATTCGGTGCTGAGGCTTGAATTCATGACACGTGGGATGCAGATAATATCAAGGTATTCACAAATTATTGCCTTGCTGCTCTCAATCATGAAGCACTAACGTACATGGAATCCCCTGGAAGATTGTGCTTTTCTTTTTTAAATAAAGAATCGGATTTCTAACATTTTGGAATGACAATTATTGCAAAGCATCCCGGTATTGTTTCCCTTCCGACAATCAATTTTACTTGATTTTGTTGATCAAACTTTTTCTTCACCTTTCCGAGACGACTTTATCTTATACCTTTTAATGCACGAAAGCAAGTCTAGTGAATGGATAGAACTTCAATAACTTCTTTCTCTAGTAGCCTTCTCATAACCTAGTTAGCAAACGTGATTTATTTACGTTAAATTTGCAAAACTTGTTTTTCATTTTAGTGGATCGGACGGCCTAATCAAAATATGGAATGTGAAAACCAACGAATGCCTAAATACTCTGGATGGGCATGCAGATAAAGTGTGTTTTTCAAAGTTTACTTTGGCTTTGTAATGTAGAATCTATTAATTTCTTCAAGTTTTCAATCTCTTTGTTTTAGTTAATACCATATTTTTTAGAAAGTAGCTTTGCAATTTCGTTCGAACAAGTCTGTAAAGATTCTGACGTATAACTCGTCGAAGTAAACAACACTTTTGATTTTTTAAAGCTATTTGTAATATTGTTCTTCCTATGAAAGGCAAGTAGATTATTGAAGTTAAAAAAACCTTCGACGCAAGGTCCTTGAACCATAAACTATGTTTTAGGTTTGGTCGTTGGCTTTGAACAAGACTGAAGACACTCTTGTTACAGGAGGAGGAGATTCTGTGTTGAACATTTGGAAGGTAAGTGAAAATGTCACTGCACTAGCAACAAATAAGTATATGCCTTATTAACATTTTAAAAAGTAGAAGTTATAAAATCGTTGACAGTGTCATAGTTGAAACTTCAGAAAATGATATAGAGAGCCCGTGATGTTTGTTGTCTTTATTTATTTCTTTCCTTGAATCATGTTCAAAGTAAGCCGTACCATTACTTTCCATTCTTTGATCTTCGTTTCAGTTTCAATGTCACTGTACTTTGTGTTGTGATTCTGTTTCTTATGGTACTCTAGTTGTTATCAAGGTTTCATTTATTTTCTGTTAGGATGTTACGGAAGAAGAAAGATTAGAAGAAGAGGCAAAGCAAGAGAATATGATTCTGAAGTAAGCAGTTACAGATAGAAGTTAGAAATAGTTTAAACAGAAAACTTCATGGGCCTATGATATTTCTGTTAGAATATGAAAATATTGCGGGTGAAAACAGTTAGAAAGATTGTGCATAGAAAGTTTGATCTCGCTTTCAATATAGGCTTTTTGACAGAATTGTTTTGAAAAATTTCAAGTATATCGTGGTGATATACGAATAATGAGCCACCGGGATGTTAAACTTCTTTCATTTTTTATCAGAGTTATTGTTTTAATCAAGTATTAAGTATCGGTAATGGCTAAGTATTAAAGAACTCAGATCTATGTAATTATATTACTTTGTTTTACGAAGAACATTGTACAAATTTCATTTGAGGTTGTTGTTTTAGCAAATGGGAGCAGTATTATTCACATTTGAGTGTTGATATTATTAACATTTGGTTTTATAAACATTTGGTTTTGTTCATTGCTCTTTTAGAATTTGGGGTTTAATTTCATAATAGGAATCTTTTCACTGTTACTTAATTGTTTTTAGGATATGTTCCACTCTTTTGATAAGTGATGACTTTCTCCATTTCTCGTACAATTAGGTAGTAAGAAAGAAAAAAATGACTTTATGGCGGAGAAAAATGAACTTTCCTTGTCTATTCTCTGCCCAGAGTTTGAACTTTCTTGGTAATTTGAGTCTATCAAATTAAATTTAAGGTGTAAGGTTGAATAAGATTGATATTTAAAATTCATGTTATCTTCAAGGGACCAAGAATTATCAAATTTGCTTGGCAAGAAGAAATTTACGAAAGCCATCGGCCTTGCGCTGTCACTTGAAAGACCGTTTACAGTGTTGTCAATTTTAAAAGGTAAGCACTTTAGAATCAGTTGTTATTCGAACAGAAAATTTCTTGACATTTTATATTGCTTGACAAAGAAAAAACATGTCAAATAAACCCATCTGAAATATGGATGTTTTTAGTTGCATGTGCTTTGAAGACCTTTGTGTCTTTATCCCGACACTTGTGTATCTTACTAATTGAAAGTTAAAGAAAAGGGGTTCTCTACATAAGATACCATTTTATAGTGCCAATTGGCAATCTCTACTACTTTTAAGGAATGCTTCAAATGACGTCACTTTGTTGTTCATTGCCTTTCAGAATTACTAGCTGATGCCAATGGAGAGGAGAGGCTAGCCTTAGTCTTGAGTGGGCTGCGAGACGATCAAATAGGTTGGTGAAATTTACATTGACCATTTTCTATTTTGTTCTTTTTTGTCTGTGATGCGAGGTGTTTCAAGGCTAGATTCTGGAGCAAACCAGTAAAGAACTGAAGGCAATCGAAGAGGCTGTTTAAAACATTTTCGTTTCTATAAAGAATTGTGACTTAACTGGCTGTTTTCAAAGTTTTGTTATTCTTCGTTTAAAAGTCATTGATGCAAACAAAACAAGTTTGACTTCATGCTCCCCAAAGAGGGATTGGATGAAATTTGGCGATTGTCTAATCCGCGCTTGTATCACCGAATTCTTTCAGAATTCGAATTGAAAGACGTTTTTCTGTATTTTCTTATATTTTCTTCTTTGAATGCTTTTGTTTAAAATATTTACCTATATCGCTTTTCAATTTTGAAGATTTGGTTCTCAAGTATATGCGAGACTGGAACACAAATGCCAAAAACTGCCACGCTACCCAATCAGGTAATTTTCATTTTGAATCTCATCGAATATTTTTAGATTTTTTGATTCAAACTATATTATCCAACCTTATATGCTAATAAAGAAAAATGGCGATGTGACAGCAAAGTTGGATCTCTCCCGAATATACGGAAATATAGCAACGAGAGTATTTGCTCTTTTCTTAGCAAACTGCCTTTATTTGGTCTTGGTTTTCATAAATGAATTCCTGAATTTATAATCCAATCCAAATAGCCTGCTCACCGTCAGTTTTATAAGGTCTATCAATTTTTTTGCATATTTCAAGGTATTTTTGTGATTTATTTCAGGCAAAATGTATTTTGTGACGTCATCATTCCCATGTTTTTTAACTTCTTTGCTCGATTTCTTCTTCACGTGCTTGTTTCCCTGTGCTCACTTTGTTCTCCTTATTTCTTCCAAACATCACGTGACCAAGCAATAGTTGCTACCAACTTGGTTTTGTTCTTCTTGCAGCACTGTCCATTATCCTGAAGTTTAAATCACCAGATGAACTGACTGAGTTGCCAGATATGAAGGACAACATCGAAGCAATTCTTCCATACACGGGTATAACTGTTTTCGTAGTTGAAGAAACCAGATATACTATGCTGGTTTTCTTTATCTGTTTTATTAAGAACTTCTATTTATTCCTTTTGATTGTAGTTAATTTTTTCTAATTGGTGACTTTTAATTTTAGAACGGCATTTCAATCGGCTGAATCGCCTTTTACAGGTAAGATACGTATTTTTGTGTCTATAATATTAATGTTGTGAAAAGTAGTATGATATTTTCAGTCTTTCAAACAGTTTTTATATCGTTTCAATAATATTTGCTGATGGCCTAAGATCAATTATGCACATTAAACATAAAAATATAACTTAAACATTAAAGGATTGTACTTTCTCACATTTTAAATAAATTCTGCATCATTCTCCCGCTAATACAATACCCTTATTGATTCATATCTACACGCGATTTTGTACTATAAAACAAAAACAGACTTTCTGAAATTTCAATTGACCTCTGCATATTTCTTTACTAAATATGAACTGAATAGAAAATTGAAATTTAAGTCAATGATTCACTTAAATCTAATAACATAAATAAAAAAACTGAAATTGCTTCATAAAATTCCAATCAAATTCATGTCAAAGAGCATTTGCATTACTCTTCCGTCTGTTTCTGCAGCAATCGGCATTTCTCGAATACACATGGGAATCCATGCGACTTTCTGTCAAGGATGTCGACAATAAAGCGTGAGTGAATAGGATATATTTCTTTTGACGTCATTAGTTACCATACCCTAAACTACCTTTCGCAAAAAGTTGAAATGGTATTTTTGCAGTCTAGTTTACAGCTACGCAGGTTAACAAGGAATTTTCAGTTTAATTACTACCCACTTATTCTGAGGAGCCAAGTTGTTTTTCTCTTCTCCTAGATCTAAGCAGTTGGAAATCGATGAAGAAATGAATGCTGAAAACAAGAGCCATAAATCCGTTGGCCAAGCTTCTAACCAGCAAACAGAACATCTCAGTGATCTCATCGCTATGGATACATGGGATCAGCACCAAAGTGAGGCTGCAGATGGAACGGAGGAGACGATTCATGAATCTAAAACCCAAAATAGTGAGCCCTGCGAAGGAGATTCTTTGTTAGAAACAGAACCAAGTCAAGAAGAGAACAAGGAGGTAAATATAGCTGGAAGTGACGCAACGATTTACATCTGCATATTTCGTTACTTCAAATAACATATTTATATTCTTGAAAAATATGTTTTGTAGAAAGACTTTGAGTTGCTATATGTTATTCCTTCTCTTGTATTGATTCTCTAATATTTTTTGAAATAATTAACCTTGCTTTTCAAACTCCTTTGTATTACTAATTTTTATCCTTTTGTTTTAGAACCACAAAACTACGATAGTTAGAGATGAGAGTTTGATTGAAAAATCCCCTGGCCCAGGGAAGAAGAGAAGGACTTCAGAAAAAGGAAAACTTTTAAAAACTGGCATCGCAAAGAAAGTAAAAACGATAAAGGATAAACCCCTTTGATGTATTCATACTGAAGTTGGTTTTTAGGAGTAAAATTCTTTTAGAAGAAAGACATCTACTTTATGCATTACGGTATTATCTTTGCAAATGTTTTAACTTTTGTGAAACCAATGTTTACAAAGAAAACCTGCCTATTACACCATTCACACGCCTGACAGTTAACTTCAAAAATGCATCCAGCTTTACATCAGAAAGGTTTGCTTATGGAAAATCCTTTTTTTGTTTGCTTGGAACTATTACTCACTCATACTTGACAACTTGCTTTGTGGAGGAGACAAAGTCAAGGGACTGGGTCAATCAATCCTAAACACAATCTCGCAGTCCATTTTTGATCCGACAACAGAGTACAAATGTGTTACGTATGAACATTCGCATTTTTCACACTGCAATTATTTTAATGTTTTTAGCTAATCACATCGCTATATTGAGCAGACTGTAGTGTGCAGTATGTTATTTAGTGTTGTCGCACTAAAAGGAGAAGGTAGATTTATGCTGAGTATAGTGGATTTTGCCCAGTAGTGTGGGGGGCATAGAGCCTTCCCTATATTCTATACGAAATGAGCGTTTCAGTTGTTTTCGTTTTCTTTGCCCCCTATATATCACTTTCTCTACCTTGTCTACCTGTTACTTGAGTAGAAAAATCTAAAGATGTAGAATTTAGATTAACGATATTTTGCCACCTTTGCCAGCAAGACTTTTCAGTTATTTAGAGGACTATTAAGGTCACACATGAATCCAAATAGAATTGCCAAGAGAAAAGTGGAGGGGGCGCAGCTCCCCTTCTGCTCCCCTGAGCCCCCCTATTGAGAAAACTTTTTTCTTTTTCTGAGATAATACTTGTAAAGCCAAAAAAAATAATATTCTGTCATACTTCTCTTTCTGATATATGCAAATGGAGACAGTTCCCAGTATGCAATGACAGTTGTGTGGCCTCCTCTCCCCATTCGGTGCCCCTTATTAGATAACTACAATCACGGCCAAAAGTCTTGGAACACTAACGTCAGTTTTCAAAGGCAAATACAGCCACCCCACTCTCCCCCTAAGAACAATGTTGATTTACTATAGAAAAATAAAAAAAGGGGTTGTGGAGTACGCTTTTTCGTTTGCCTTGTATGATATTTTTCTATACTTTCAACATTGTTTTGGGGAGAACGGGGGACGGTAGTAGTTTTATTCGGGAAAATAAATGAAAAATAGAAAAGCACAGCGCAAAGTGTTGGGTGTTCCAAGTAATTTTGGCAGTGATTGAAATGATGAAATGAAGTGATGTAATGAAAGAAAGAGGTGCTCGAGCAGGAAACGAGCGAATGCTAACAAGGGGGATAGATATTCCCAAAATTGGAATCTACTTTTTGAATGACCCCGAAGTCTGTTCCATTGTTATGGCGATGAATTACATCTGTAAAGAATCAAAGAAATTGCCAATTTGAGAGTAAACATTCATTCTATTTCGTATTGAAAGCTAATAAAAAAGAGTCATATCTTCGAAAATGATGCAAAACTATCTCTTTGTTCCTTAGTTTTATCCATTTGTGATTTGGAAAAGTGGAACTGTTTTCTCAAAACCTAGCTGGCATCCAGAAAACTGATGCTGCTTGCCTGCAATCTGTACAGATAATTCTTCAACACTGTAAGGTGTATTTTAAGTATTTAAGCTGTTGAATTCAAAAGTACATATTAACCCTGTGTCTTTTATCTCTTTCACCAAGTCTAAAATTTGAAACTTTTATTCGAGTTGCCTTAATGACTTTTTATAAGTATCCTTATCTCCAATATTGATTAGACGGATATTCTCTTCATTTTTGCTTTCAGGTGAAAAACAGAGCTGTTTTTTAAGAACATTTGTATACAAAAAATTGAAGGGCTTTCAGAGGCTCTCATAAGTTGTACTAAGCAGCGTTGGTCAGTCGTTGTGTCTGATGTAATAGAAAAATGATATTTTATTGTATATCGACTTTAAGAGCGCATTAAACATAGTGCATTGTTTGAATGAAATGAATTGAATTGAATTGGTTGAATGAAATTGGTTGAGTTGAATTTCACTGCACACAGTCACGTTATCCATGGACACTTTTCTACATTTTCAAGGCCAGTATGTGTCTTATTAACTTAAACATGATTCTGAGAATGTTAAAGCTATTTTAATTTTATTCAACATCAAAGCTTCATTGTTTTCCGTTGTGCTTAATATTGATTTATATTCTTATTTCTTAGCTTGGTGCAATTTCATCCTGATCCGACAAAACTGATGTTGTTCTCATCGTCAGCTGATAGTTGCATTTGGATTTGGGATCTCAATACTAGCACGTGAGTGATGACGAAAGAAGCAGCAAATGCTATGTTTATGTACTGCACGTTATGAGTTTGTTATCTCTAGCGAAATTTAGGTTGTAGGGTTGTCTATGGCGACAAGCGGTTTCCTGAGAAGGGTGGAGCTTGGTCATTTGCGCATAGAAAACTGGATAATTTTACATTTTTTATGTTTTTTTTCAGTGAAATTTTGATATTATTAATGGGTTTATTATAGATAACAACCATTCAAGAATCTAGACATGGAAAATCACTTGAATGTGTGCACGCACTTAAAATTTTGGCTCTATAAGCGCAAGACAAACCCATTATTGTTTCGTTTTTTGTAATTCCTAGATGCATCTCGACGGTAAAAGGCCACTACAGTAATGTGACTTCTCTATCATTGTTCGAAGACAACGAGAAAATGATCAGGTAATGTTTTAAAATGTCATTATGTCATGTCATGAAGTTTGCCTGGTATCTTTAAGTCGGAACAGCAATGCAGAGACCTAGTACCTAGGATAATCGATTGGAGAGACGGCTCTTTGAGATAATGATTTTTGAATGGAGCTAGGGAACTAGGAGTGAAAGAGTAAAAAAGATAATATCATTGGACAACAGGGTCAGTATGGGCGACTGAATAGTCTATGAAGTGAGCCAGTACTGTTGGATCGCAAAAGTAACAAATTTCAAAACTAATTGTTAACTATTCAATGGTCCTAACAGCTTTATGACTTAGTATTCTGTGTTGAGTCTATACTTTGTAGCATTTACCGTACAATTTTGTTTACTACAGTGCTGGACGTGACAAAGTTGTAATATTGTGGGATCTTGCCACAAGGAAATCATTAAAAACTATACCAGTCTATGAGGTAAGGATTGTTTCTTTTAACGAGAGGTAACAACGTATTTGCGCTCATTAGAACGTGTGGAGTCGTATAAAATTGCCAAACTTAAATGGGATCACTCACTTAAATGGGATTTCTTAAATGGCCCTATTTATTTAGAATGTCCCAGTCAAATGAAATGTCCCACTTCGTTGGGAAAATTGAACAGCCCTTAACTTAGGCGAGATTATTAGTTCTGAATTGAAGTAAATATTTTGTTAAATGTTTCGTTTATTGCTCCTCTATTCCTTCTTCCAATCCCTGTTGGAGGTTCGAGGCCCGAACTTTGTTTTTTATGATTTGCCAAACAAGAAAAATTGTTTCAATAAGTAAAGAAGCCAAGACTTAAGCAAGAACGAGTCCTGTTTTTTTAATGAAAAATCTTTGATACACAAACTCAATTTAATATACAAATGTTTAAAAATGCCAGCTACAAAAGACTTATTGAGATATTAAAAATTCGACACATCAAATAGTTGGAAAGTTAAGTATATTAAAATTTTGGTTTCTTCAAATTGCGTAAAGGTGGCAACGATCTTGGTTTTGCCCCAAGTGCAGGCAACAGCATGTTTCTTCCTAGTGGTTTTGGTGACGTAAGAGATGGACTAAACAAAAGTCCACTTTGCTGTGGTTTGATGCCAGTGTCTGAGTCGCTGCCTGAATCTGAGGGGCTTGATGCGTCTAATGAACTGGAACTCCCAATGGCCTTTTTGGTTTTTTTGTCACCTTTGCTTTGGCTCTCGTCACTCATTTCGATATCTGATATCAGATCGTCGATTTCAACATCGTCGTCAAAACCCAAATCTTTAGCCATCTGCTTTTGTTTAGATGGGATTTTTGTGATCTTTGCAGATGATTTTGTCTTTTTTGTCTTTTGTTTTGCCACGAACGAGCTAAGCATGTCATCTTCTTCTTCATCAATTCCAAACTTGTTTGAACAAACTTCTGTCACAAGAAAATGGTAAAAAAGATCATTCAAATCCACAAGAACATCTCTTTGCCAGTTCTTAATTCAGCAAACGTGAACATGTTTTTGCTGAAACTAATTGCTAAAATGCTTCCAAACTTCTTTATTATCGTTTTAGTGTCGCAATGATGATGGATATTTTTTGACAAGCAAACACAGCCTCAAATTGTTCGCAGGTCAACTATAGCTGTCAATAAAATTACTAACAATAGAAAAATATACAGGCAATATGACAACTACCACAAGTATTCCATTTCTAGTTCCAGTTTCATACTTTTTAAAATATCACAAATATCATTATTCTGACCTTCTTTTTGCTCTTCTTTTCTCCCATGTCCTCTTTCTGCAGCGTGGTTTTCGTGAGAATTAACTTCATTGGTGTTTTTTTCAGCTGGAGTACAGTCCTTGACGGGGGTGTCTCCAAGTTTCTTCTCTTGCTTTTCATCTTCCTCCAGTGGCTCTATAGCCTCAACAAAATCATATTCATCGAGATGGTTGGCAAGATAATCTTCTTCTACTGTAATGTCTTCAGTGACATTATATTCGCCCTCAAACTCCATAATTTCTTCGGACATGTCCAAAAAAGCGTCATCGTCGCCAAAAGTCACATCTTCCTTTTCACTCGATTTTTCTGCTGACTTTTCTTTATCAGAGGCGCAATCTTTTACTGATTTTGTTCTTTCATCATTGTTGCTTTCTTCCGAAGACTGGCTATCTTCTTCAAAGTCAGATTCGTAACTACTGGAAGAGCTCTCTTTGTTGGCCAAATTCTCTTTAGTGCTAATGGTAAAAATTATAAACGTTTATCAAGCAATTAGATTTACTCGTTTTTATTGGCATAAGATAAAGTAACATTTAACAACATGGATTAATATGTACAGATAGGAATGATGGTATTTAGGGATGGGCGTAGTTAAAACTGTAATGTCCTAGATATTGAAATATGATTGGGATCAGAATTGTCTTTGATCTTTCCATTTTAAGTACTGCAAAACTAATTAAGCCACTCTCCTATTGTCAAATTTGAAATAAGCCCAATTTTTTTCTTCCGACTCATTTAATGACCTTAAAGATTCTGATGAAGATAAAGATATTTTTATTGACTAAATCTTGGTTGCAACATTCTCTATAATCAATAAATTGGAATATAAAAGGCGTCAATATTAATCTTTTTCCAAGATATTTATCAGACACCTCTTTTTTAAGCATCCTTCCCTCGAGCATAAATAACTAGATGGGTCCCCTTCTCGTGGCTTTAATCAACTTTTACGGAATATCTACAAAGACTAAATGAAACATTTCGTGGACAAAGACGTGGAAAAAGTTCATGAAGATGAAGCATGTCTACAAAATACTCTTATAAACATATTTAAAGCTCTATGTTTAACTTACTTTTCAGTTTCAACTGTCTGGTGATTCTCCATTTGACTGAGTGTTGTTTGAAGCTGCTCGCATTTTAAAAGCAATTCTTTTTTCTCGGATTTCAGCTCGTGAATCTCATCATATGCTTTCTCTAAATCGTTCTCTGTGTTCTTGAGAATCCGAGATGTTGCCTTTTGCTTCTCCAGCTGCTTTTCGAAGACTCCCTTTCCTTGTTTCAACTCATTGTTGTCTGTTTCAAGCTCTTTTGTCTTTCTCTTTAATTCAGTAACTATTCGTTCCAACTTTTTCGTCTCATCGACTAATTTTTTGTTCTCCTTGTCAAGCTGCTGAATACTTTGATTTTTCGCTTTTAATTCTTCTGCTTTTTCATCAACCATTTTAGACAACAATTCGTTGTTTTGACTTCTTTTCTGCATCAAAAGCAGCTCTGCCTCTTTTTCTTTCAGCTTAAATTTGGCAGTTTCAAGTTCTTCCTTTATGTGTAGCTTCTGTGCCTCCAAGTCTTTCTCTTTTACTGCTGACCTTTTAGCAATCATCTCTATGTTAGCTTCAGTATCGGACAAGGTAGAGGCAAGATCATCAAATTTTCTTTGCCAGTCCTCAGCTTCTTTCTTCAAAGCATCCATGCTAGATATGGCCTCATTGTCCTCACCTTTCTTAGCTTCCAGCTTTAAGTTGAGGATTTTGACTTCTTTTTCCAGTTTCTGTTGCTGAAGATCTTTTACATCAAGTGTCTTCTTAATCTCATAATTATGCTTCTGGATTAGCTTTTCTCTTTCCTTCATCTCTTCAAGTTTCATAGACAGCTCTCGAAGTTTTTCAGATAGCTCGTTTTCCTTTCCAGCAACAGTTATGCGATGCTTCTGTTTTTGCTCGCAACTAGCGACTTGTTCTTTCAGTTTCATGTTTTCAGTAAGCAGCTCTTCTTTGCTTTTTGTCAGCTCATCAATTGTTGATTTAGCTTGCTCCAAATCTTTCTTAGAGTTGTTTTGCCAATGCATTTTTTCTTGTTTTGCTTGCTCTTCTGTTGCAGAAAGCTTTTTTTCAAGCATGTCACACATATTTTCTCTGTCTTTGATCTTCTTAAACAGATCAGCTTGCTTTGCATAAGACTGTCTAATTTCTTCTTTTTTTGATTTCAACTCTACTTTTAAATTTGAGCAGCTGCTTTCTAACTCAGTAACGCGACCATTTATTTTCGCTATCGAAGATTTGGCATCATCTTGCTCTTTGTTTTCTTCTTGTAGCTTTTGGATTGTTTTATCCAGATCCGTAACAATGTCGGTTTGCATATCAAGCTTTTCCTTAAGATTCAGGTTGTCCTCCACAAGCTTCTTTTCTTGTGACCTTGCTTGTTGAAGCTGTTCATTCAATTTTTGACTTTCTATTTGATAAGTTTGTTCCTTGGTGTGAATATCTGCCTTTATTTGTTCGATCTTCTTCATTAGATCTGATACTTGGCCTTTGGCAGACACCTTCTCTTTTTCAAAAGTCTGTATCTTTTCTTTGATATCTTTCGAACGCTCTGTTGCTTCTTGTTTCTTTGCTTCGAGATCTTTCTCCAACTTGATTATCTGAGCCTTAAGTGCAGCAACTTCATCAAGTGATTTTGCAAGGTCATCTTTAAGCATTTTGTTCTCTTCAGCCAAAGGTGCTGTTGTTACCTTGGTATTTTCCTGTATTTCCTTCAAAGATTTCTCTAATGTTTTGATTGTTGCTTCTTTTTGTTCCAAAATACTCTCTAGGTCGATGCAGCTTTTCTCCAGATCAACATTGGCATCAAGAACTTTGTCTAACTTTTCATTGAGATCTTCTTGCTCTTCCTTAAATGATGTTTGAAGATTTTCTTTCTCCTTCAACAAACCTTCGATTTTAGAGCTTTGATTATCGAGTTGATCCATGACTGATTGAAACTTCTCCCGCTCTATGCTGTTGTCAACTTTCTCTGTGAGTTCTCTATATTTTTCTTCCATATCTAAGAGCTGTTTTGAGTAGGCCTGTGCTTGAACCTCTGCATCTGTTAATTTTCTTTTCAAGGAAATGTTCTCCTGTTCAAATTCGGCAAGACTTGTTTCTAATTTTCTTTCTTGCTCTTTTGTTGATTTCACATACTCCTCGTGGCTCAATTCTTCATGGAGCAGTTTTCCTTGAAGCTCTTTCAAAAGTTGTCTCAACTCTTCATTTTTCTTATTAAGGTCTTCAATCTCCCTTTTTTTGACTAGTTGATCTTTCTTCAATTGATTCAACTCTTCTTTAAGCTTTAATATTTCTTTGTCAGGATTTATGTCTTGTAGTTCATCTACTTTCTTTCGCAGTTGCTCGATCTCCTTGCATTTCTCTAAAATTAGTGTCTCAGAGGCATCTAGCTGTCCATTGCCGTCTTCGTAGCTGGAAAAGCTTTGAAATTGGCTTAGTTGACTTTCCTTTTCTTTCAGATGGCTTTTCAGCTCGCCATTCAAAGCTTCTAAGCTTTGCAGCTTTGTCTTTTTTCCTTTAAGGTCGACTTTCAGGGCCTGTTTTTCTTTTAAAAGTCTGTCAATATCATCCTGTCTGTACAGAACAACTGCTTCCAACTCAGATTGAGCTTTTTCTAATTCTGCAGCAGTTTGCTCAAACCTTTGCTTGAATTCTTTAGCTTCGATTTGATATCTTCCAATTTCATTAACAAAATCAGCTCTCACCTCTTGAAATTTTTCCTCCATGAGTTCTTGCATCAAAATAAGCTGTTGTTCTGCCTCTATGACTTCACCTCTGTCCATCATGGAGTTATAGTCGGAGACAAGAGACCTGTTTTCGTCATGAAGTCGTTCAAGATCATGATGATATTTTCTCAACTTCTTTTTAATTTCTTCATTTTCTAAGAGCAGTTCGTCAATCTCAGCCTGACATTCTTCTTTGCTCTGTTTGACTTCGAGCTTCAAACGTTTTTCAACCATCAACTCTTGCTCCAATTGCTTCATTTTCCGTTTGATGATAATAAGCTCTTCGATTTCATTTTCCCTTTGTTTTGACATCTGAATGCAAGGGAAATTTAGTCTTTAGACTTTATGTTCTTTTTACAGGGAAAAGCAAGATATATTTGTATGGATACTATGAATTATTGTAAGTGACTCATTTATACATAGGAGGTGTTTCTTCATAATGAGTAATTCATACAATGTTCATCTTGTGTTTAAGATATAGAGTAGCTATCACTCACCAGCTTCTCGTTGTCAAGTTCCTCTCGCAGTTTGATTATCTGCAATTTCTGCGACTTCAGAAGACTTTCCATCGATTGCTGCATTTGTATACGTTGTTCCCTTTCATGTTCAATGACCCCTAAAATGGCATTGACGTGAAGTAATAGGAATGTCAATAATAGGAATATTGTGACCACTGGACAAAATAAAACTTTTCTGTGAAATCTTTCTAGAAAAACGCGTTATTCTGCTTACCCAGTGCAAGGTGAAGCTCATTTGTAGCTTTCTTTAGTTGCCTTTTAGCTGCTTCAAGCTTCTCTTGCAGTTGTGTTTCTTTGATCTGAGACTCAGTCAGGGTCATTTGGGCATGATCGAGATCTGCTTGCAATTTCTTTATAACCGCCTTTCTAGCATTGATCTCATCTTGAGCTTGTTTGACTCTGTGTAAAGGATGTTTAGTTAAGTTAAACTCGATTAAATTATAACATGCTAAAAAGGAGTTCATAGCTGACCAGAAGATGTTTAAAATGAATTGATTTACCTCGTGTTAAGTGACTTGATTTCGTTCTCGCGAACATCGGGTCCGTTTTCAAGCCATTGATCAATTTTAGCCAAATGAAGGCCTTCTGGGGTATCCGCTGTTCTCTCCTCTTGGAAATATAGTTTCCTTCTGAGAGTTTCAAGTTGGTTGAAACATGCTTTGCCTAACTTTGTAGGCGTTGCACTGCTGCTTGAATGATACCCTAAATTGAGAGAAAACGTTACATTATTACTATAATTGGTAAGGGATTTTGGTTATTGCTCGTTATTGCTTATAAAAACAGGCCTTTAGATATTTTAAATGTAGTAGTATAGAAAATTGTTAGGTTTATACATTGAAATACCAATGTTTATCATTCGTTCGAAAATTCGATGCGGTGGTGTCTATGCAAAGGTTTCTTACCTGCTTTCATTTCGATTCTTGATCAACTTTCGTGAGACAAATTTTGGAAAGCAGATTAATCTAGTATACAACGAAAGACGTACTTACCGTTAATATTTGTGGTATGAGATGCATACCCCTTGGTATACCAACGATAACCTCCATCTGCGTTTGCATTGTTGTCCTGGGAGTAACGTGGTGCGTGCACCGTCTCCTCGTGAACTTTCCGTGCGGCATGACCGTTGAAAAACCGATTCTCGCCGTTTCTCATGCATATCCAACAACGGACGCTACCGTCCGAACTGAAACTCGCCATTTCGCCGTGTGCTGTGTGCTCGTAAGAAACACAAGAACACGAAACCAAGTGCAAATCCACAAGTGGAATGCACCGATACTCACAGTTGTGAAAACTGAAGCACAATTTGTCTAATCATGGTGCGCCCTTTTATACATGACGGTGGCCGCCTCCAGATGATTGTTACGTCAAATTGATATTTTGTTACGGGAATTGGGACGATTTTGGATGAAGTATATTGAAAGTTAACTAAACTAAATCTAAGCTAGTGAACCTGTTATTTTTCGAAAAGCTTGCTCTGTTAAACTACAATCCTGGCCAAAATTTGTTGGACTGGCTGGCAAATTGTAGTCCTTTTGAACAAATACGCTTCCCACCCCCCACAGTCAATGTTGATACACTTATTTCTACTCATTTCGATTGCCGTTACTTGGGTAGTTTCCAGAAAACCAACTTTGCTGCAGGGGTGGGGGGTAACTTTAGTAAGTTAATTCGAAATGGTACTTTGAAATCATTACTTGCTTCCATTTTTCCACAGGCAGTGGAATCTGTGATTGTTCTGCCTCGTGATAAGGAATTAGAATGGTGCATGACAGCAGAAGAGGAGCAAAATGTTAAGTTTATAACTGCTGGTGAAAAAGGTGAATATATTTGGTCCAATTTATGGACAATGTTATGTAAAAATTCACTCAATAATTAATCTCGGCAATATCGTCGACAAATATTATTGGTCTTTTGTGCACTGTAAAACTTTTCATTAACCCAATTTATTGTAAACACAAGAAAAGATGTCAGTTTTTCTCAATATATAATACTTGCTTAACAGACTCGAAATTCTCAGAGTATGACACAAGTTGACTGCTTGCATCAAATTTTCAGGCATCATTCGGGCATGGAGTGTTCGTGATGGCAAGTGCATCTTTGCCCCAGAAAGATCTGCAAATAAAGCTGTGGACAGTAATTGTGAAAACCCTGCTCCTTCATCAACGGTTATCCAGTGTGTCCTCAATGAAGCTCTTAATTGCATCGTTACTGTTTCCGATGACCAAAATATTGTCCTTTATGACTTGAATTCACTGAAAATCTTAAAACAGGTAACTTATTTCGTCGTTTTCGTCCCTTAATTGCATCTCTACTTTCGTTGACATAATAATTCAAGCGTTTATTATTGTTTTTTTTTCTTAATTCCGTGTATTTAAGAGAACTCCCTAGCTTTTATAATATAATTAGACAGTAATCGACTCTTTCTATTTTGTTGATGAATTTTTCTCGTGTATAGTTTGTCGGACACCTGGACGAAGTTCTGGACTTAAAGTTTGTGGGGGAAGATCATTCCCTTCTCTCAATCGCATCAAACAGCCCTGATGTTAAAGTTATTGACAGAGAAACCATGGATTGCAGAATATTGAATGGACACACAGGTTTGTTTTAAATTGAGATTTTTGACAGTGGAAAAACTCAAAACTTACACTGTAGTTTTTAAAATGATTTCAAGTCTTTGGTAAAACATTAGAAAGTACCTTGTTTGTTTTTGATAAAACTGTGATTTAATGATTTTAGTGAAAAAAAATCGAAGTACAATGTTTTGTGTGTATGATAGCAGAATTTATTTGCAACACCGTATAATTTAGTTTTTTTTAATTCCCGTAGTTTGTTAGCTTGTTGTTTGTGGCAAATGATAATTTCCCGTTCTAGATACAATAATGGCACTAGATGCAAGTTTCGATGGCAAATACATCGCTTCATGCTCAAAGGTAGGCTCAACACGTAGTATTAGCCAGGCTTTATCTTTTTTTCTTAAATGTCTTCTCTATTAAATGAGGGCTTCTTTCAAATATAGAATAGCAGAGGTTTAAATAAGCTTGATTTGCAATACTTCATTCTGAGAGGGCCTTTTTGTTTCCTAAGTAAATCATTTACTCATCTTCCAATAGCTTTATCTTGAACTTGAATTTGTTCTCACATTGATAATTAAGTCTTTTCTCCTATTTTATTTTGCTTTATTTATTAAAGGATAACAGTCTAAGGATCTGGAGACTGGGCGATGACAAAACCTTTTCATGCGTGGCCTTAGGTGTTGGCCATACGCATGCAGTTGGAACTATTGCTTGGCCGAAGTAAGTAATGCAGTTTATAGAAAGCAGTGTCTTGATCTCTTCTCCATGACTTGATCTTTTCTTTACCTTCTGATGCTCAGAGTAGATAAAAAGAGCAGAGATGTAAAGAGTAACATTGAAGATTTTTTTACTATCAAACTTTACACAGGCTTTCATATTAAATGCATGATCTCTTTCCTAACCCAAAACCTCTCTTGATGAGGTACGAGCTTTGTTTTGCTGCTCCTATCTGCTTGTGTTTTAGTCAATATTCTTTCATCGTTTATAGAGATCAGCGTTCATTCAGTCTGTTTGCATCTCAAACCTAGGGTAACATTTGAAGTCCCTTTTGCTGTTACTCGCAATGAGTTCCCATTTGGGGTTTTGTTTTTTGCCAATCAGGGGTACTTTGTCGGCATATTATCCAGTTTTATGCAACTTCATTAGATCAAATCAAACTCTATAGGTCACTGCTAGACCAGGAAGCATTTATGGATGATGTTCACCTTTAATATCATTCAATCCATTTTTGTGTTGCTCTTGCTCGCTTTGTTGCTGTTTAATATATTTGAAATAAGCAGACATCTTATAATTATTATAATTATATTAAAGTTAAGGCACGTTTTCTACTTGTTTCAACAGAAGAAGCACAGATCATTTAGTAACTGGAAGTCAAGATCTAACTCTGAAGTGCTGGAAAGTCCCACAAATATTTGAGGTGATACCATAGGTTTAAACTCTTAAGATGGAGTTAGTTAATGCAAAACAAACGTATCTTAGAAAGCATATCAAAAATCCTGTTTTCCTTTAAAGGCAAGAAATCATTTCTGTGGGCTGAGTAAACGAAGTTTATTTTTGGGAAAAACAAAAGAATATATAAAAGTAAAAATGTTTCATGGACGGTAGAGCCTCGTCCATTAAAAAAATATTAGTTCTAACCTTATCCATTCATTGAGTTAGTCTTTATCATATCTATGAATAAATTTGACAGGATAATGGTTTATCAAAGATTCAAGCTGTGTGGACTGTGAAGGCCCATGATAAGGTTTGTCACGATATTCTTCTTCAGTTGTTCTCAGAATTTACTACGCATGCTGTCAAACAACACAGATGCAGAAAAGTTTCAATTTTTATCGATCCAGAGCATTAAAGTGTGAATAAAATTATTTAAATACGCTTTATCCATTTTTCGTCATTTCAAAAGGAATAAATTTACTGCATAAGGGTTTGATACTTAAAAAGATATATAATTTCAAATGTGTATGGCCTCTGGAGATACTGCGACAGAAAGATTTTCTACGTTTAATAGCAACTTTTTTTAGATAGTTAATTCTTTATTGTGACTTCTTTTATTGTAATAGACTTCATGCAAAAATATGTTTTTAGGACATCAACTCTGTTGTGTTTTCTCCAAATGACAAACTCATCGCTTCGGGGTCTCAAGATAAAACAGCAAAGGTAGGCCATCAAACCTTTTTTGAGACAAAGAGGAAGCTTTATCTTTGATTGGCTGGGTAAGACATTAATAACTAAATATAATTTTGATTTGAAACATTCTTTTTGGTAATTTTTAAATAATTCATCAGCCTCTTTTGGATTCTAGTTATGGCTTGCATCCGACGGAGGCACGTACGGGACGCTGCGAGGTCACAAACGAGGAGTTTGGTGCGCAGCGTTTTCTCCTGTCGATAAATGCCTAGCAACAGCATCAGCCGACTCGACAATAAAGCTATGGGCAATTAAAGATTTAACTTGTGTGAAGGTGGGATTGAGAAATTTGCTAATGTTTACTTGGCTTGATAAGATACTTTGGTCAGAGTAGTTGTTCTAAAGTTCACCAAAGCCTAGATTAAGCTCATCCAAGACTAGATTAAGTTCATCCAAGCCTAGATTGAGTTCACCTAAGCCTAGATTTAGTTCATCCAAGCCTAGATTAAGCTCATCCAAGCCTAGATTATAGACGATGTGGTAATCATGAAAACTAGAATTAATGATGAAAAATTTTAAACATTAAAACCCATATACCCTTGAGACATAGAAACAATTGACGAAATCAAATGTTAATAGGTATTGGGATTTAAAAAAGCATTTGTTCGTTTTAGACACTGGAAGGTCATACCAATTCGGTGCTGAGGCTTGAATTCATGACACGTGGGATGCAGATAATATCAAGGTATTCATAAATTATTGCCTTGCTGCTGTCAATCATAAAGCACTAAAGTACATGGAATCCCCTGGAAGATTGTGAATACCTGTTTTTTGAATTAAGAATCGGATTTCTAACATTTTGGAATGTCAATTATTGCAAGCATCCCGGTATTGTTTGCCTTCCGACAATCAATCAATTTTAGTTGATTTTGTTGATCAAACTTTTTCTTCACCTTTCCGAGACGACTTTATCTTATACCTTTTTATGCACGAAAGCAAGTCTGCTGAATGGATAGAACTTCAATATCGTCTTTTTTTAGTAGCCTTCTCATAACCCAGTTAGCAAACTAGATTTATTTACGTTAAATTTGCAAAACTTGTTTTTCATTTTAGTGGATCAGACGGCCTAATCAAAATATGGAATGTGAAAACCAACGAATGCCTAAATACTCTGGATGGGCATGCAGATAAAGTGTGTTTCTCAAAGTTTACTTTGGCTTTGTAATGCAGAATCTATTAATTTCTTCAAGTCTTCAATCTCTTTGTTTTAGTTAATACCTTTTTTTTAGAAAGTAGCTTTGCATTTTCGTTCTATCAAGTTGGTAAAGATACTGACTTATAACTCGTCGAAGTCAACAATACTTTTGATTTTTTAAATCTATTTGTAATATTGTTCTTCCTATGAAAGGCAAGTAGATTATTGAAGTTTAAAAAACCTTCGACTCAAGGTCCATGAACCATAAACTATGTTTTAGGTTTGGTCGTTGGCTTTGAACAAGACTGAAGACACTCTTGTTACAGGAGGAGGAGATTCTGTGTTGAACATTTGGAAGGTAAGTGAAAATGTCACTGTACTAGCAACAAATAAGCATATGCCTTATTAATATCTTAAAAAGTAGAAGTTATAAAATCGTTGCCAGTGTCATAGTTGAAACTTCAGAAAATGATATAGAGAGCCGTGATGTTTGTTGCCTTTATACATTTCTTTCCTTGAATTATGTTCAAAGTAAGCCGTACCATTACTTTCCTTTCCATTCTTTGATCTTCGTTTCAGTTTCAATGTCACTGTACTTTGTGTTGTGATGCTGTTTCTTATGGTACTCTAGTTGTTATCAAAGTTACAATTATTTTCTGTTAGGATGTTACGGAAGAAGAAAGATTAGAAGAAGAGGCAAAGCAAGAGAATATGATTCTGAAGTAAGCAGTTACAGATAGAAGTTATTAGAAGTAGTTTAAACAGAAAACTTCGTGGGCCTATGATGTTTCTGTTAGAGTATGATAATATTGAGGGTGACAACAACTGAAAGTGTTGTAGAGAGTTTGAGCTGATCTCTTTTTCAGACTTTGATACTTTTTGACAGTATTGTATTGAAAAATATCAAGTATATCGTGGTGATTCACGAATAAAAAGCCACCGAGCTGTTAACTTCTTACATTTTTTTGTTTTATGGTATTTTTTTCATTAAGTATCAAGTATTGGTAAGGACTAAGTATCAAATAACTGAGTTTTAAATAATTTTATTAGTTAGTTTTACGAAGAATATTGTAGAAATTTCACGTGGGGTTGTTGTTTTAGCAAATGGGAGCAGCATTATTCACATTTGAGTGTTGATATCTTTAACATTTGGTTTTATAAACATTTGGTTTTGTTTATTGGTCTTTTAGAATTTGGGGTTTAATTTCACAATAGGAATCTTTTCACTGTTGTTTAATTGTTTTTAGGATGTGTTCCACTCTTTTGATAAGTGATGACTTTCTCCATTTCTCGTACAATTAGGTAGTAAGGAAGGAGAAAATGACTTTATAGCGGAGAAAAATGAACTTTCCTTGTCTATTCTCTGCCCAGAGTTTGAAGTTTCTTGGTAATTTGAGTCCATCAAATTAAATTTAAGGTGTAGGGCTGAATAAGTTTGATATTTGTAATTCATTTTATCTTCAAGGGACCAAGAATTATCAAATTTGCTTGGCAAGAAGAAATTTACGAAAGCCATCGGCCTTGCGCTATCACTTGAAAGACCGTTTACAGTGTTGTCAATTCTAAAAGGTAAGCACTTTAGAACCAGTTGGTATTCGAGCAGAAAATTTTTTGATATTTTATATTGCTTGACAAAGAACAAACATGTCAAATATACCCATCTGAAATATGGATGTTTATAGTTGCATGTGCTTTGAAGAACTTTGTTTCTTTATCCCGGTACTTGTGTATCTCCTCTAATAAAAAGCATCGATGAGTGGGGTCTACTAATTAAAAGTTAAGGGAAATGGGTTCTCTACATAAGATGCCATTTTATGGTCCCAATTGCCAATCTCTACTACCTTTAGGGAATGCTTCAAATGACGTCATTGCTTTTTAGAATTACTAGCTGATGCCAATGGAGAGGAAAGGCTAGCTTCAGTCTTGAGTGGGCTACGGAATGATCAAATAGGTTGGGGAAATTTACAATGACTTTTTCAATTTTGTTCTCTTTTTCTGTAATGCGACGTATTTCAAGGCTAGATTCTGGAGCAAACCAGTAAAGAATTAAAGGCAATCAAAGAGGCAGTGATGTTTCATTAATGGTTGAAAATATTGCTGAAACGAACATGTTTCGTTTCTATAAGGAATTGTGACTAAACTGGCTGTTTTTAAAGTCTTGTTATTCTTGGTAAAAAAGTCATTAATGCAAACAAAACAAAATTTGAATTCATGCTCCCCAAAGAGGGATTGGATGAAATTTGGCGATTGTCTAATCAGCGCTTGTGTCACCGAATTCTCTCAGAATTCGAATTGAAAGACGTTTTTCTGTATTTTCTTTCATTTTCTTCTTTGAATGCTTTTTTTAAAAATATTCACCACTATCGCTTTTCAATTTTAAAGATTTGGTTCTCAAGTATATGCGAGACTGGAACACAAATGCCAAAAACTGCCACGCTACCCAATCAGGTAATTTTCATTTTTAATCTCATCGAATTTTTTTTAGATTTTTTGATTTAAACTTTATTACCCAAAAGGACCTTATATGCTAATAAAGAAAAATGGCGATGTGATAGCAAAGTTGGATCTTTATCGAATATACGGAAATATAGCAACAAGAGCTGCCTTTATTTGGTCTGGGTTTTCATTAATCACTTCAGGCAAAATGTATTTTGTGATGTCATCGACTCCCTTTAAATTATGTAGTCACTTTCTTCTTCACGTGCTTGTTTCCCTGTGCGGACTATTTTCTCTTTACTTCTTCGAAACATCACGTGGCCGATCAATAGTTGATACCAACTTGTTTTTATTCTCCTTGCAGCACTGTCAATTATCCTGAAGTTTAAATCACCCGATGAACTGACTGAGCTGCCAGATATGAAGGACAACATCGAAGCAATTCTTCCATACACGGGTATAACAGTTTTCGTTGTTCAAGAAACCTGATATACTATGCTGGTTTTCTTTATTTGTTTTATGAATAACTTCTATTTCTTCCTTTTGATTGTATTTCATTTTTTCTAATTGGTGACTTTTAATTTTAGAACGGCATTTCAATCGGCTGAATCGCCTTTTACAGGTAAGATACGCATTTTTGTGTCTATAATATTAATGTTGTGAAAAGTAGTATGATATTTTCAGTCTTATAAACAGCCTGTATATCGTTTCAATATAATTTGCTGATGGCCTAAGATCAATAATGCACATTAAACATAAAAATATAACTTAAAGATTAAAGGATTGTACCTTCTCACATTTTAAATAAATTCTGCATCATTCTCCCGCTAATACAATACCCTTATTGATACATATCTACATTCAATTTTGTACTATAAAACAAAACAGACTTTGTCAAATTTTATTGACCTCTGCATATTTCTTTACTAAATATAAACTGAATAGAAAATTGAAATTTAAAATCAATGATTCACTTAAATCTGATAACATAAATCAAAAAAATGAAATTGCTTCATAAAATTCCAATTAAATTCATGTCAAAGAGCATTTGCGTTACTCTTCCGTCTGTTTCTGCAGCAATCGGCATTTCTCGAATACACATGGGAATCCATGCGACTTTCTGTCAAGGATGTCGACACTAAAGCGTGAGTGAATAGGATATATTTCTTTTGACGTCATTAGTTACCATACCCTTAACTACCTTTCGCAAAAAGTTGAAATGGTATTTTTGCAGTCTAGTTTACAGCTACGCAGGTTAACAAGGAATTTTCAGTTTAATTACTACCCACTTATTCCGAGGAGCCAAGTTGTCTTTCTCTTCTCCTAGATCTGAGCAGTTGGAAATCGATGAAGAAATGAATGCTGAAAACAAGAGCCATAAATCCGTTGGCCAAGCTTCTAACCAGCAAACAGAACATCTCAGTGATCTCATCGCTATGGATACAAGGGATCAGCACCAAAGTGAGGCTGCAGATGGAACGGAGGAGACGATTCAAGAATCTAAAACCCAAAATAGTGAGGCCTGTGAAGGAGATTCTCCGTTAGAAGCAGAACCAAGTCAAGAAGAAAACAAGGAGGTAATTATAATTGAAAGTGACGTAACGATTTACCTCTGCATATTTCGTTACTTCAAATAACATATTTATATTCTTAAAAAATATGTTTTGTAGAAAGACTTTGAATTGCTATATGTTATTCTTTCTCATGATAATTCTCCAATATTTTTTGAAATAATTAACCTTGCTTTTTAAACTCCTTTGTATTACTAATTTTAATCCTTTTGTTTTAGAACCACAAAACTATGAAAGTTAGAGATGAGAGTTGGATTGAAAAATCCCCTGGCCCAGGGAAGAAGAGAAGGACTTCAGAAAAAGGAAAACATTTAAAAACTGGCATCGCAAAGAAAGTAAAAACGATAAAGAATAAACCCCATTGATGTATTCATACTGAACTTGGTTTTTAGGAGTAAAATTCTTTTAGAAGAAATACATCTACTTGATGTATTACGGTATTATCTTTGCAAATATTTTAACTTTTGTGAAACCAATGTTTACAAAGAAAACCTGCCTATCACACCATTCGCACGCCTGATAGTTAACTTCAAAAATGCATCCAGCTGTACATCAGAAAGGTTTGCTTATGGAAAATCCTTTTTTTGTTTGCTTGGAATCATTACTCACTCATACTTGACAACTTGCTTTGTGGAGGAGACTAAGTCAAGGGACTGGGTCAATCAATCCTAAACACAATCTCGCAGTCCATTCTTGATCCGACAACAGAGTACAATTGTGTTGCGTATGAACATTCGCATTTTTCACACTGCAATTATTTTAATGTTTTTAGCTAATCACATCGCTATATTGAGCAAACTGCAGTGTGCAGTATGTTATTTAGTGTTCTCGCAGTGCAGTAAAGTACATTACTAGGAGAAGGTAGATTTATGCTGAGTATAGTGGATTTTGCCCAGGAGTGTGGGGGGCATAGAGCCTTCCCTATATTCTATACAAAATGAACGTTTCACATGTTTTCGTTTTCATGGCTCCTTAAATACCAATTTCTCTACCTTGTCTACCTGTTACTTGAGTAGAAAAGTCTAAAGATATAGAATTTAGATTAATGATGCCAGCAAGACATTTCAGTTATCTAGAGGGCTATTGAGGTCACACATGAATCCAAATTTCAAAAATTGATATCGGTACAATCAAAGATTTGATCCTGGTGGAAATTAGCTATGATATTTTAGAATTGCCCAAAAAAAGAGGAAGAGGCGCAGCTCCCCTTCTGCTCCCCTGAGCCCCCCCCCCCCACCTATTAAGAAAACTTTTTTTTTCTGAGATATTACTTGTACTGCATATTATACTTTTCTGTTTCGACATCAATTCATTCAAGGAACAATCAAAACGAGAAATAAATGGAGAAGCAACGCTTTAAAGAATCGATTCTTAGAAGAAGATTCAATCTATTGAATCATATTGATCAGGTATATCAAACAATTGCTACAAACTAACGCTAATAAAAAAATTAATATTCTGTCAAATTTTTGTTTCTCACATATGCAAATGGTGCTGTACGAGGCAGATCCCAGTATGCAATGACAGTTGTGTTGCCTCCTTTCCCATTTCCGTGCCCCTTGTTTGATAACTAGGTGATGTAATAAAAGGAAGAGGTGCTGGAGCAGCAAACGATCTAATGCTAACAAGGGGGATAGATGTTCCCAAAATTGGAATCTACTTTTTGAATGATCCCGATGCCTACCAAGTCTGTTCCATTGTGATGGCGAATTACAGAATTACATCTGTAAAGAATCAAATAAATTGAAAGCTAATAAATTTCGTGTTGAAAGCTAATAAACAAAGAGTCATATCTTCGAAAATGATGCAGAACTAACTCTTTGTTCTTTAGTTTTTATCCGTTTGTGATTTGGAAAAGTGAAACTGTTTCTCAAAACCTAGCTGGCATCCAGAAAACTGATGCTGCTTGAAAACTGAAAACTGAAGCGGTTTCCTGAGAAGGGTGGAGCTCGGTCATTTGCGCATAGATAACTGGATACTTTTACATTTTGTTTATTTTTTCAGTGGAATTTTGATATTACTAATGGGTTTATTATAGATAACAAGCAGTCAAGAATCTAGACATGGAAAATCACTTGAATATGTACACCCACTTCAACTATTAGTTATATTAGCACAAGGTAAATGTATTATTGTTTCATTTTCTATAATTCCTAGATGGATTTAGACGCTAAAAGGCCACTACAGTAATGTGACTTATCTATCATTCTTCGAAGACAACGAGAAAATGATCAGGTAATGTTTTAAAATGTCATGATGTCATGTCATCAAGTTTGCCTGGTATCTTTAAGTCGGAACAGCAATGCAGAAATCTAGTACCTAGGATAATAGATTAGTGAAAAAGCTCTTTTAGATAATGATTTTTAAATGGAGCTAGGGATCTAGGAGTAAAAGAGTAATAAAGATAATATCATTGGACAACATTTGAAAATAATATGAAGAATCTATACTGTTGGATCACAAAAATAACAAATTTCAAAACTAATTGTTAACTATTCAATGGTCCTAACAGCTTTATGACTTAGTATTCTGTGTTGAATCTATACTTTGAAGCATTTACCGTACAATTTTGTTTACTACAGTGCTGGACGTGACAAAGTTGTAATATTGTGGGATCTTGCCACAAGGAAATCATTAAAAACTATACCAGTCTATGAGGTAAGGATTGTTTCTTTTAACGAATGGTAACAACGTAATTGAACAGCCCTTAACTTAGGCGAGATTTTTAATTCTGAATTGAAGTAAATATTTTGTTAAATGTTTCGTTTATTGCTCCTCTATTCCTTCTTCCAATCCCTGTTGGAGGTTCGAGGCCCGAACTTTGACCGGTTTTTTTATTTACAAAACAAGAAAAATTGTTTTCAATAAGTAAAGAAGCCAAGACTTAAGCAAGAACGAGTCATGTTTTTTGACTGAAAAATCTTTGATACAAAAACTCAATTTATTATACAAATATTTAAAAATGTCAGCTTATTGAGATATTGAAAATTCGACACATCAAATAATTGGAAAGTTAAGTATATTAAAATTTTGGTTTCTTCAAATTGCGTAAAGAGGGCAACGATCTTGGTTTTGCCCCAAGTGCAGGCAACAGCATGTTTCTTCCTAGTGGTTTTGGTGACGTAAGAGATGGACTAAACAAAAGTCCACTTTGCTGTGGTTTGATGCCAGTGTCTGAGTCGCTGCCTGAATCTGAGGGGCTTGATGCGTCTAATGAACTGGAACTCCCAATGGCCTTTTTGGTTTTTTTGTCACCTTTGCTTTGGCTCTCGTCACTCATTTCGATATCTGATATCAGATCGTCGATTTCAACATCGTCGTCAAAACCCAAATCTTTAGCCATTTGTTTTTGTTTAGATGGGATTTTTGTGATCTTTGAAGATGATTTTGTCTTTTTTGTCTTTTGTTTTGCCACGAACGAGCTAAGCATGTCATCTTCCTCTTCATCAATTCCAAACTTGTTTGAACAAACTTCTGTCAAAAGGAAATGGTAAAAAAGATCATTCAAATCCACAAGAACATCTCTTTGCCAGTTCTTAATTCAGCAAACGTGGACATGTTTTTGCTGAAACTAATTGTTAAAATGCTTCTAAACTTCTTTATTATCGTTTTAGTGTCGCAATGGTGATGCATATTTTTTGACAAGCAAATACAGCCTCAAATTGTCCGCTGGTCAACTATAGCTGTCATTAAAATTAATACCAATACAAAAATATACAGACAAGATGACAACTACCACAAGTATTCCATTTTTAGTTCCAGTTTTCATACTTTTTAAAATATCACAAATATCATTATCCTGACCTTCTTTTTGCTCTTCTTTTCTCCCATGTTCTCTTTTTGCAGCGTGATTTTCGTGAGGATTAACTTCATTGGTGTTCTTTTCAGCTGGAGTACAGTCCTTGACGGGGGTGTCTCCAAGTTTCTTCTCTTGCTTTTCATCTTCCTCCAGTGGCTCTATAGCCTCAACAAAATCATATTCATCGAGATGGTTGGCAAGATAATCTTCTTCTACTGTAATGTCTTCAGTGACATTATATTCGCCCTCAAACTCCATAATTTCTTCGGACATGTCCAAAAAAGCGTCATCGTCGCCAAAAGTCACATCTCCCTTTTCACTCGATTTTTCTGCTGACTTTTCTTTATCGAAAGCCAAATCTTTTACTGATTTTGTTCTTTCATCATTGTTGCTTTCTTCCGAAGACTGGCTATCTTCTTCAAAGTCAGATTCGTAACTACTGGAAGAGCCCTCTTTGTTGGCCAAATTCTCTTTAGTGCTGAAGGTAAAAATTAAAAGAAGTTTATCAAACAAGTAGATTTACTCGTTTTTATTGGCATAAGATAACGTAACATTTAACAACATGGATTATTATGTACAGATACGAATGATGGTATATAGGGATGGGCGTAGTTAAAACTGTAATGTCCTAATTTGAAATAAAACTGTAATTTGAAATAAGCCCCATTTTTTCCGACTCATTAAATGACCTTAATGATTCTGATGAAGATAAAGAAATTTTCATTGACTAAATCTTGGTTGCAACATTCTCTATAATCAATAAATTAGAATATTAAAGTCGTCAATATTAATCTTTTTCAAAGATATTTTTCAGACATCTTTTTTTAAGCATCCTTCCCTGGAGCATAAATAACTAGATAGCTCCCTTCTTAGTGGCATTACTCAACTTTTACGGAATATCTACCAAAACTAAATAAGGAATTTCGTGAACAAAGACGTGGACAAAGTTCATGAAGATAAAGCATGTCTACAAAATACATTTATAAACATCTTTAAAGCTCTAAGTTTAACTTACTTTTCAGTTTCAACTGTCTGGTGATTCTCCATTTGACTGAGTGTTGTTTGAAGCTGCTCGCATTTTAAAAGCAATTCTTTTTTCTCGGATTTCAGCTCGTGAATCTCATCATATGCTTTCTCTAAATCGTTCTCTGTGTTCTTGAGAATCCGAGATGTTGTCTTCTGCTTCTCTAGTTGCTTTTCGAAGACTCCCTTTCCTTGTTTCAACTCATTGTTGTCTGTTTCAAGCTCTTTTGTCTTCCTCTTTAATTCAGTAACTATTCGTTCCAACTTTTTCGTCTTATCGACTAATTTTTTGTTCTCCTTGTCAAGCTGCTGGATACTTTGATTTTTTGCTTTTAATTCTTCTGCCCTTTCATCAACCATTTTAGACAACAATTCGTTGTTTTCACTTCTTTTCTGCATCAAAAGCAGTTCTGCCTCTTTTTCTTTCAGCTTAAATTTGGCAGTTTCAAGTTCTTCCTTTATATGTTGCTTCTGTGCCTCCAAATCTTTCTCTTTTGCTGCTGACCTTTTAGCAATCATCTCTATGTTAGCTTCAGTATCGGACAAGGTAGAGGCAAGATCATCAAATTTTCTTTGCCAGTCCTCAGCTTCTTTCTTC